CTGTACCATTGTGTTTGTTCTTTTAATAGTCTTGCCTTTATTTTTTCTCCTGTTTTTATTGATTTTATTTTTTCAAGCCCATTTTTATTGGGAGCTAATAACAGATATACCTTTTTTGAATTTTAAGACATTTAAAACTGTCGAGCTTGTGTGATGAAAACCTGTATATCTGGTTTGGTAAATGAAAAGTTTCCAATAATAAAAAGTATAGCGTTTATCTTCTCAAAATCCGTATTCTCTTGCATAGCTAGATGAAATTTATCATTGATATAATAGTCTATGTAGTTTATACTCTCATATGTTCAATTATTCAAATTTGTCTTTATGGCCAGAAGGAACGATATTTTGGTCTGAAGTCTGATGGAGGATTACACATTGCTTTTGGATGTCACATATCTTTTGTTTTTATCACATTTGACTTTTTTAAACAATCCAGACCAAGTATGCTTTCCTTTGGACCAGTGGTTCACAACCTCCCTAAGGCCACCGCCCTTTAATATAGTTCCTCATGTTGTGGTGACCCCCCAAAATAAAATTATTTTCGTTGCTACTTCATAACTATAATTTCTCTACTGTTAGGAATTTGTGAAAGGGTTGTTTGACCGCCCCCAAAGGGGTCACAACCCAAAGGTTGAGAACCGCTGCTGTAGACTATTTCTCGCTCTGGATTTTTTTGTTTCCTTGTGTTAGTTTCAAATTAACTATTTCTGGCAAGAATACTACATAGGTAATGTATGTCCTTATCAGCACATCACATAATGAGAATAATGCCAATTCATTTTTCCATTATTGGTGATAGTGTGTTTGATCACAGATTGTATCTGTTACATTCCCCTTTGGAATTTATAATTAATCTGAATTGATACTTTGAGATTATGTAAATATCCTATTTTAAAATTTTATTTCCATCTCAAGTACATTGGTACTTACACAGGGTGATGATTTTCTGATTCTCTTGTTCTTATTTACTAGCCAGCATTCTTCTTTAATAAATAACTCTTCCCAATTTTTACCTCTGTAAACTCAGATTCAGTGTGTTATAAGTCTTCTTCTGGATGCTCAAGTAGTCTCAAATTTGGCCTGTGCTAATAACCCCATTTTTAAAGACAATTGATGTGGAATCAGTCTCTTTCCTGCAATCGTTCTTTTCTCTGATGAATTCTTGTTCCTTTGTTGTGCAGTGTTGTAAATCTGGATGCTAGGAGGCAGTAATAAAGCAGTGCTATTTTAGCTTCAATGGGAGCCTATTTGAATTCACCTTATACTGAGAATTCACACCACACCTTAGAAAGCCCTACAGAAAGCAGTGTAAAATCCACAAGATTTAAAATTTTTTTATCATGTTCCTTTGTGCCTTTAAAGTTCGGGAAGTAAATGCTAGCATTTATTTTTATTTATTTATTTCTAAATCATTTTATTGGGGGGCTCATACAACTCTTACCACAATCCATACATACATCCATTGTGTCCAGCACATTTATTGCCCTCATCATTCTCAACATTCGCTTTCTACTTGAGCCCATGGTATCAGCTCCTCATTTTCCCCCGCCCTCCCTTCCTCCGCACCCCCATGACCCTTTGATAATTTATATAATTCACTATTTTTGTCATGTCTTAACACTGTCCGAAGTCTCCCTTTACCCACTTTTCTATTGGGGTGTTATATGTAGATCCTTATAATTGGATCTTTCTACCCCACCTTCCCTCCACCCTCATGGTATTGCCACTCTCACCACTGGTCCTGATGGAATCATCTGTCCTGGATTCCCTGTGTTTCCAGTTCTGTCTATACTAGTGTACATCCTCTGGTCTAGCAGGATTTTTAAGTTATAATTGGGATCATGATAGTGGGAGGTGGGGAAAGATTCAAGAATTAGAGGAAAGTTGCATGTTTCATCGTTGGTACACTGTACACTGACTGGATGGTCTCCCCGCGACCCTTCTGTAAGAGGATGTCCACTTGCCTACAGATGGACTTTGGGTCCCCACTCCGCACTCCCCCCCATACACAGTGATAGGATTTTTTGGTTGTTTTTGATGCTTGATACCTGATCCCTTCGATGCCTCATGATCTCACAGACTGGTGTGCTTCTTACACGTGGGCTTTGTTGCTTCTCAGCTACATGGCCGCTTGTTTGCC